TGAACAGACACTAACTTTTGATATTGGAAATGCAGCCACATGCTTAAAGTGGCCCAGGCCAGAAGCTGGGGGGGCGCTAGAGTATGCCTCCCTGCTTGGCCAGAGCAGACAGCTTGGGCCAAAGCTAACCTGCTCATCTGTGGTGGGGGAGGTGTTGCAGGAATGGTGCAAAGTATCTTGGGATGCTGAGGGACTGTGAGTTAACTTGAATCTGGAGGGGATCTGTGACAGAAGTTTAATAAACCAATTTAATCTAAATCAGTTAAGTCTGATACTACATCCATCCAACGGTATCTTAAACTGGTTTTGGCCATTTTGAAAGTGGTTTATGTGCACTGAACTTCTGTCATGTTACAGATTTGAACAGGTTTGTGATCATTTATACCAGTTTATGTGTAACTTCTGTACCTAGCCACGGAGGTAACAGTTCTAAATTCAGAGAGAGTGCTAGCTGTATCATTTCTGTGTTATCACTAATAAAGCCATTACCCTATTGCAAACACACATGCCTCTTTGAACTGGACCACTCAACCTAGAGGTGAGGAGTTCTGCCTTGTATTTGCAAACTCTTTAAACCATCCTAATTCAAATGACCAAGTAGAACCTGGAAACCAGCTTAGTCTGCTTTGATACTGGATCAGCAAACCTAAAAGTAACATTAGTATTTGACAGCACGTATGTAAAATCACCAATAAAGAAAATAAACTATTTTCTTTCATCTCAGCTACATGTAAATATTTATGCATGGTATAATTATTTGTACATGAGAATGCTCCATGCACAGTTTCAGGTTTCTCTGCTTGGAACAAGGCAGAGGGTTTTCTTTCTACCTCTGTTTGTATCTATTTTGCTTCTTTATTTCCTAAGAATTCATCTTGCTCCTATGGAAATGAATGGAAATTTTCCTCATTGACTCAACAAGTGAAGGACAGATTTATTAAACACCCTACTGTGCCCCCAATCAAATGACAAAACTTGCTGACAATACACGGAATAGGATTGCATCTTTAGGGCTATATTGTGCCCTTAGATGTGAATGTGACTTCCACTGATGCCTGTCAGTGGAGTTGCACCTCAGCAAGGATACAGTATGGCCCCCAAACAGCAATCCCAGAACTGTCACATAATGAAACAGTGCAGTCAAAGGCATTCTGAAGCAAGCACCAAGACATCAGAAAAAGGTCTCATCGTTTTCTAATCTTAAAGGAAAACATATTTTTGTACCACCTTTACTTATTAAAAATGACCTGTGATATTGTTTTGTTGTGTGCCAATATCGTTTTAGTTCCTCTCCCTCTTAAATTCATTCAAAATTAGGGTTTATGGAAAATATTTGAGAAAGGTTAAATGATAGCTGGTCCATATGTGCATAATGGAAAAGGTGAAAGAAATGTAGCCCCTATCTTCTGGGCAAAACTAGCTTTTCCTGATAGCAGAGAAAGTAATTCAAAGAGAGTTGCTAGCACCTGGAAAGACCATGTGTTAATTTGCCGAGGTTAAGAACAGAGAGCATTTTAGGACAAAAGGAAGCCTTACATCTCATCACAAAACCATACCAAATTACAACTGAATCACTAATATCTTTTAAGTCTACTACAGGGGCTCCATAGATGTCTATTAGAGACAAGATTTGCAGAGCTGTTTTAGCTACACATTTTATACCAGAAGATGATCTGGCTCATAAATCTTAGGATTTAGATATTAAAAAAAAATAAAAAATCAGAAGGATCGGTCATTAAACCTTATACTCTATGGCCCTGATCTTCTACAGAGAAAACTGCCATTGCAATGGAGACTTGGTTTGTTTATGGCTTGAGAACTTCTCTAATTCCTCTTTAATTTGGATATGCATCATGCATACATGCTGCCTAATATGCAAGCACCATGAAATGTACCAGACATAGTAAAAATAAAGGAATGAAGTCATATCTCACAAATAGACCTCTAAAAAGCCTTAAGTTTCCACCAGTGCTGTTTTTAAATGCTGTATTATTTTAAAACTATTCAGTGCTTCAATTAGTCTCTGAAAATACACAGAGAACCTCATGGGGGAAATTAGACAGCTCTTTTACAGCAGAATTAATATGGCAGATCCTCAGATCCTGCAGTTTTATGTACTTAGAAGAAGAAGAAAAAAAAGTATAAACTTTGGAGGATACAGAAGTATTCCTTTAGTTTGCTCCTAGAACTCATCTAGACTGTTTTCAAGGCAGAACTCAAACCCAGACTTAAGT